ACTAATTAAAGTACGTTTGATATTCATTTGACTTTCCCGCGAGAATGCACTCAAGAAGAGTATTGATGCATCTGACTTCTGATGAATTTGCTTGTTGGTCACTAAGTATTTAAGGATGGTGGTGAATTTTCCTAAGTACGATTTGAATTCCCGATGATCCTTGATTCCGCCATTTACGCCGTATTCTTTGGTGATATCCACTAGGTCGTTGGTTGTGTACAAGATCGTATTATCCAATTCTCCCCAGGTTTCGACCATTTCCTTTCGTAATTTCACCCATTCGCATTTCTCAAACCCGTCCATGGCTTCTAGTTGGATCTTGAGCTCCTCGGTTTTCATGAATCGCCCAATTTGTAACGCCTTGTCGTAGTCCGTCGCATTGAAGGCTCTGGCTGCTCGTTCAAATCGCTTCAGGAATGTTCCAAAGTTCTCGCCATCGTAAAACAGTCCGGGTTCCTTGATAATCCTTGGTGCGACTTGAGGGACTGGTTGTTGATTTGCTGGTTGTTGTTGTTGTTGTCGATTATACACTGGCTCTTCTGCATTCTGGGTGTTGTGAAGTCCATATCCAGACAAGGGAGGTATGTTTTGTTTTTGAGGTGTAATGTCGCCTGAATCCGAGTCCTCCTCCGTTATATCTCGTATTTCACTTGCTTTTCCCTTTCCTTTATCCTTCGGTGGTGGCAATGTAGTTTCCGTATTCCAATTGAAAGTTGAAGATGATCCTGAAGGTCGATCAAAAATTCGGTTCCTAAAAGGGGTTGACGATGCAAATCCATCTTCCAAATCTGGTGTACTGTACGGTAGACTCATGTTGATTTTGATTGATTTTCCTAGTTTTCCTTACTTGACGCTCCTTCGATACCTAAACAAACGGCTGCTCTGAAAAAGAAACAAATAATACTTTGGTCGCTGGTTTCTTTACCAGGGCAAGCTTATAGTCTTCTTTAAAAATAATAGATCAGTTAACACTGGGAAGTTCTTCTTTTACAGAACCTACTTATCCAAATTCCTTGGGTACCTTTGCCCTTCTTTTGGTATCTAAGCAGCTGCTTTCTTTGAATAGTTCCTGATTTGTCTTCAAACAGTATCCTAGTTATCCAGATCCTTCAGTCTCTTGCCTTCTTCTGGTCAATAACTGGCTGTCTTCTTCGAGTCCTTGTTTCAGTTGATTCCTACGCTTTCTTTTCAGAGGTTGGTTGTTTATGTCGTTGAATTGTTATTGAAGTTTGACTAGTTGATCAACAGAATAACTGAATATGCCGCTGAGTTGTCCAAATTTGTTTGATGAATTCGTTCCGTTTTACCGCTAGAAGTAATGATCCTTTGTCGATGTCTTTGTTGATTTCTTCTTCTTTCGTTTAGAATCGGTTATACGATGTCACTCGAAGGTTATCCTATCACGTTGGGGACTCCCTTGTAAGACTCAAAAGTGGTGATGAAACCCTTTTGCTGAATGGAGAAGGGGATGATGGAGTTGCAAGCTCTGCCCTTCTATGCTATCAGAACAACAAGACCACCAAGCTTAGCTTGGCAGTTATATTTATCGTGATAGAGGATAGTTCAAGATGAAGCTTCCGAGTGATGTGTATAAGGTCTGAAGTTATAAATGAGTGATGATTATATTGATGAAGATGTTGTTCAAAGCTTTAAAACCAAGGCTTGGAGCTCTGGGAGCACTATGCTTCAACCAGTAATGGTATGTGAGGCAGGTTATGGCACTTGGCACTTGTTATGATGATGAAAGTGTTATGATTGTATTTCAATATAATGTATTGTTATGGCTGTCACTTGTATATAATCTGTAATGTGGGTTGAGATGATCTGCTCCTCTGGTGGAATCCTGGAGGGAACAACTGGCAGGCAGAGGCCTCCTTATATAGACAAATGTGAGGGATTTTAGCCCCAGGGTACAGGCTTTTGAGGCATTTTAGCTGGCCTGAAGATCCAATGAGGGATTTTAGCTAGTCTAGTACATGCAGGTGAGGGAATTTGGCTGGTGAGAGCACTGCCTTGAGGGAATTTGGCTAGCCTACAAGGTCCTACTACAAAGGAATGCATGTGCACCTACAAAGGAATTCAATATGCACTATGTGCCAATAAAGGAATTCAAAACACCACAAAGGAATTCAATATTCAATATGCATCCAGTATTCAAAACAAGCCATACTATGAGTAAAGAATCCAAAAGATATCCCGTGACAGGTTGAAACCTGTGTAACTTCTAAACTATGAGAGATATGGGGTCAGTTGTAGTGGGTGACTAGGGTTAATTTTACCTGAGAAATCCATTTCTGATGTCCTTTTTACCATATCTATAATATATAAAGAGATAATAATAAATTTTTTATATTTTTCTGCGTAGAAACACAGTATTATTTACCACAGCGTCTTCATGGGATGGTCCGCTGAAGTGTACAAGGGAAATCTCCAGGAGTATATTGATCGAACTAGGGCTCATCTCCTCGATATCGATGCTGTTGGTATCACTCTCCCACTTGATATTATCTTGTACCTAGTTCTCGGAAAACTGATGCATGACGATAAACTTGACAAGATTGTTGATAATTGTGCCATGTCTGAAGACTGCACATCGTCTCCTTACCTGGTCCTCGACGCTCTTCAAACTTGGTTAACTCATAAGGGATCAAAGAAAGAACCCGATCAAGCCTCTGCTCTTGTCACCACCTCAACACCGTCGGCCGGTAAATTTCCTATCAAAATTGTACACCTTTGCGCCAATGGTGATCATAATCCCGAGGCCACTACTCATGCTGAGCCGAGATGCTTCGAAAAATATCCACATCTCCGTCCCAACTACTCTGGCAACTCTCGTCAACAAAAGAAGACCACTAACGCTAGTGCTAGTTTCGCTCACGCATCGGCATTCACTTCCTTTGTCTCAAATCAAAACACTGAAAGCATTGTAATTGATTCAGCGGCTTCTCATCACATGTTGCGCAACCGTAACGTGTTCTCATCCTTCACTGCCGAAGAAATCATAATCAAAACCGGAAACCCTGACACTCCTCTCATTGCTACTGGCCATGGAACGGCAGAGATCCTCACAAACGGAAAGGTCTTGAAGCTGTATGAGTGTCTTCTTGTTCCAAAAATCTCTCAACAACTGGTCTCTCTTGTTCGACTCATCAAATCTTCCGTCAAGATTGAGAAGGATTCACATCGCTTCAACATTACCGACGATGAAGGCTTGTTATTCTCCGGTAATATCATTGACAATCTTTTGCACTCCGAATACATTCAATGTCCAAGGGCGTTATTTAACGTTAAAGAATCTGATCATACCTTGTGGCATCATCGACTCGGTCATCCATCCGATGCGGTGTTAAAAGCTATGGGACTTCCGATCTCTGAAAAGAGTTCAATTTGTGAGGTGTGTATTTGTTCGAAGATGACTCTCATTCCATTCTCCAGTCATTTCTCTCCTGCAATCTCCAATCTTCAACGACTTCATATGGACCTTGTTGGACCAGTCAATCCTCCCTCTATTTCTGGTTTCAAATACTTCTTGACAATTGTTGACCAACATTCATCATTCAAATTTGTACGATTTCTGAAGGCAAAATCCGACGCTTTCAAGGAATTTGAACACTTCGCAAATCTAGTTGAGAATCTTCAAGATGGATCAATCAAAGAGATTGTGTCCGATCAAGGGGGCGAATTTGTCAATAAAAAATTCACAGATTTCACAGCAAGAAAAGGAATTCTGCAGACATTCTCTCCTGCCGAAACCCCTGAACTCAACGGCTTCGCCGAAAGGGCAAATCACACGATTCTGGACAAGGCAAGATGTCTTCTCCTCACCAGTAATCTTCCGAAAACGTATTGGGCTGAGGCTGTGAATGCAGCTACATTCATTTCCAACATGTTAGCGTCACCTTCTCGTCCTGCTTCTCCTTATCAAATATGGACTAAATCAGATGCTCCATGTCACCGCCTAAGATCCTTTGGGTGTAAGGCTTTCATAGCAGTTCCGAAAAATCACCGATCCTGGAAATTAGGAAATACCGGTGACATTGGTATCCTGGTTGGATATGAAAACAAAGGTTCTGTTTATCGAATTCTTCGACTACGTGACAAAAAGCTCGTCAAGACTCGACATGTGAAATTCGACGAAACTGTCTTCCCCAAACTCTCTAATTATTCGGTTCCCTTCTCAATGAGTGAACCTCTGCTGGAAGGCGAATACGCGCACGACTCCTTCGAGGCCGACTCTGATTGTTCCTCTGTGTCGACTCACAATGAGGAAATTGAACATCCTCCTGTTGATCACTCGACTCCAGACGCAACCGATGTTCCTCCTGAAAGCCCCGATGTTCCTCCTGAAAACCCCGATGTTCCTCCTGAGAGCCCAACTGCTCCGACTGGCTCCTCATTAATCATTGGGGATGTATCTTCTACCAACATTCTTCCCTTTCGTCGCTGTAAGGACTCCGTTGAGTCCTTCACTGTCCGTCCGGAAAGGCACTAGACAAGGGCTCAATAGCTCCTGAAGAAAGGATTCTAGTACCAAAGTGGGTTTTATTTCAGTCTAGACCAGAGAGAAGAATCTCTCATTAGTATATACAAGTGAAGGAGAGTGAGGAAAGGAAATGAGAAGAGAAGGAAGGAAGAAAGGGTACTTACCTAGACCAGAGAGAAGAATCTCTGCTGTCTAGGTAAAGGAGAAGGGTGAGACTAAATACAAGGTGAAAACAGGCTTATGTAATCTTGTGACAGGTTTGTGTAAGCCTGTGAGGAGCAGGGCTTACAGTCTCCCCTCCTATAAAAGAAAATAAAGAAAGGGAAAATTAACAGCAGCAAGGACAGAGAAAAAATAGGAAAGTAAGCAGGAGATTTGTAGAAGAGTTCAGGGGTGGTGACTGATTTGGAAGACACACTCAAGGAGGATTGGGGAAAAATGGAGTTAATATAGAAAGGAGACTACTGGGAGGTGAGGAAGGTGGGAGGATAGGTGTAGGGGACAGAGGGTGAAGGTATCAAACATAAAATAAAATTGGGTTGTCGGGAGCTGAAGTAGGGTTGTTGGGAGTTGAAGTCGGGCTGTCATTGCATTCATCTAATCCAATAAACTCTGAATCTTCAATTGGGCGGTAGCGGGGGTCGCCCTTTCTTTCCAGAGCAGCCAAGGCTTCTTCCCTAATAATAGACAAGGCCCCTATGGCAGCGGTTGGTTCATTAACAGGCGGTGATGGTAATAATTTGGTGGAAGTATTGGGGGTGTCAACAAGTTGGGGAGATGAAGTGGTGGAGAAGTCAGATCCAGAATTAATGGTTGTCTTCTTCTTTTTATTCTTCTTCTTTTTCTTGGTCTCATTTACACCAGAGAGTTTGAGGTAATCATCAAGGTTGTTGTAGTATTCTATAGTTGTGCTTGAATATTCCGGAGCTAGTTGGGTTTCAATAAGAGCTCCATCATCTTTTTCAACAGCTAGGGATACTACTTCAGCTACATCAAGGTTGTCAGGGCAGTTTTGGGAAGTTGGGTGGACTGAAGTAGGAAGAGGATCAGGGATTGGTTCAGGTCGGGTGGCTGTCCTTAAAGGGGTAGGTGAAGGGTGAGTTGTAAGGTCTGATGGAGCAATCATGTTGTCAGAGATTGGGGAAGATGAGATTTGATGACCAGCAAAATCACGGTGTGATCGAGGATCAGAGTGAGGATGGAGGTCTGCTATAGTTTGATCAGCAGTAGGTAAGATTGCAGTAGTGGTGGCAGTGGCATCGTCAGCGGATGAAGTCGACAACGGTTCATGCACTTCAATGGGGCTATTGTTATTGAAAGAGGTCGTTTGGCTCGGAGCTTGAGTCTGATCGTCAGCAACTACAATCTGAGAGTTGTGGCTGGGTGGGGTGACTGAGGAGTGTAAAGTCAATTTGCTAGCTGGAGTTTCAGCGACAATTGCGCTAACAGGAGGCAGTGCTTGGGTGACGGTGGTTGAGGCTAGGGCATCAGCGCTGTGAACAAGAACGGTGGTGGTTTTGGTAATTCCAAGCGAAACGACTGCGTCGGTCAAAGAGGAGGTGGTGGGTGACGCTGAGATAGACGAGGGCGGAGGAGGAGTCGAGAGTGAGCGGGTGGGAGGAGAAGAGGATGGCGCCGAGTTTGTAGGGGTTGTAGACGATCTTGATGGCGGCAACGCTGGTGATGACGAGCTGATTGAGAGTGCCGATGCACGGTGGATTGGTCGCTTCTGGCAATGCGGCGGGGGGTCAGAGGGCGTCGTCGATCGTGATAGCAGCGGCCCCGGTGCAAACGACTTGGCTGAGTCCGGAGATGAACTCTGGGTGATGATCGAGTGATTTTGCAGGCTTGGAGGCTTGAAAGTTGAACCAAATTTGGGTCGACCAGGCGGGGAACTGAAATTTACCTGCCCGATTGATCGCCCAATCCGCCAGCCGGTCGTTAGCGATAACGATGTCTCGTTGGACAAAACAGGCACAAGGCCTCGCTTGATTGAATATCGGAAAGAGCCGACCAGGGGAGCCGAGTCTTTCAAGGGGGGCTGAAGTGGTTCCATTCTAGCTAGTAGGAGGCGTACTACATCCTCTAAGTGTTTGATGCGTGTTCCATAAACGTCAGATGGCTTGTTGGGGAACCGTTTAAAGGATTCTTGTTGCATTTTTAAGAAAATGACGGATTTTTGATTTAATTGGGGTTGAGGTCCAAGAAGGAACGAGATCGGATGGAGACCAAAGTCACGAATCAAACTGAGTCGGATGTTGAGGAGTGGAAAACTGAGGCTTGGCGTGTTAGGTAACAAGATTGAGTAAGTCAATGAGATTCAGACTGTCGAGAAGGATTGCAGCGGAGCAGTGTAAGACAATGTTGGAGAAGTTTGTTCGGAATGAGTCGGATAAGTCAAATAGGTAGCGTCAATAAATTTAAAAATTCTGCTAGTTTGTTGGCGGAACTAGAAAAAAAAAGTGTAAGGACTCCGTTGAGTCCTTCACTGTCCGTCCGGAAAGGCACTAGACAAGGGCTCAATAGCTCCTGAAGAAAGGATTCTAGTACCAAAGTGGGTTTTATTTCAGTCTAGACCAGAGAGAAGAATCTCTCATTAGTATATACAAGTGAAGGAGAGTGAGGAAAGGAAATGAGAAGAGAAGGAAGGAAGAAAGGGTACTTACCTAGACCAGAGAGAAGAATCTCTGCTGTCTAGGTAAAGGAGAAGGGTGAGACTAAATACAAGGTGAAAACAGGCTTATGTAATCTTGTGACAGGTTTGTGTAAGCCTGTGAGGAGCAGGGCTTACAGTCGCGTTCGCAAGGCTCGTGTGTTTTTCACTTCGGCGACAACATTCCGGCTCATTATCATCAAGCTATACACGGTAGGGAATCTGCAAGTTGGACTGCAGCAATCAAAGCTGAAATCAAAGCTGAATTTGATATGAAGGATATGGGAAGGGCTGATTTAATGCTAGGAATCAAAATTTTACATGAACCTGACGCAATAGTCCTCTCCCAGCTCCATTATGTCAACTCCGTTCTCGAGCTCTACGGCATGGGCTCCTGCAGACCGGTCTCCACTCCCCTTGTTCCGAATCTGCACCTGGCAAAAGCTTCCGTGGAAGAACAGGATTGCTTCAAAGCTCTTGGCGTAAATTATCAAAGTGCAGTGGGTGCCCTCAGTTACTTGTCAACTGCGACTCGCCCAGACATAGCATACGCGGTCAGCTCGCTCTCGCAATTCTTGGAGGAGCCTGGCATTACTCATTGGGAAGCCTTTACTCATGTGCTTCGATACCTGGCTGGCACGTCCGATAATGCGCTTGTCTACAAACGCGGCGAGCCTGAGGACCTACGAGGCTACACTGATGCGGACTGGGGTAATTGTTTGTCAACCCGACGCTTGGTGACGGGATATCTCTCACTCTTTAATGGCCATTTGATATCCTGGCAAACCAAAAAACAGCCGGTGGTGTCCCTCTCGTCATGTGAGGCTGAATATCGGGCCTTAACGGATTTCTCCTGTGAACTTCTCTGGCTTCGCCAATTTCTCGATGAAGTGAATCTAGCTTCTGCCGACGGCCCGACCATTGTGCACGAAGACAATCAAGGATGTATCGCCGTCGCAAACTTTGAAGCCAACACGAACGCAAAACGCATGAAGCACGTGGAAATTCAATTACACTTCATCAGAGACGTAATCAAAGATGCAAAAATTTTTTTGCAGTACACTCCTACCAACGAGATGCTTGCGGACTTCCTCACGGAGTCAGTACCTCGTGCCGCTCTCGTAAAATCCTTGGAAAAACTGGGACTTTTTCGCCTGGAGGGAAGGGGGGGTGTTGAGATCTGATCGCGATCCCTCCAGTACTCTAGTGGTGTTTTTCCTAAAGTCACCCATTACATAAGCCCAGTCGACTTCTCAATGACATCATCGCTGCGGTCTCTGCAATGTCTTATATAAGTCCCTTCCTTCAACCTTGCTTGTCTTTCTCCCCATGACTCCAGAAACTTTTATCGCTGTTTCTCAGAAGACTCTTTCTTCCTCTTCTCATCATCTCGGACTCATCATCGTCACTCTTATCTTAAAGACTTGTGATATTCTTTTTCTTAACAAAACTTCCTCCTCCCTTCTTTCGATAAAACAACTTGCTTGTTAACTATCATCGCTCGTCGTCAAACATCATTCGACTCGACCGTTCTCACTTCATCTCGTCTCCCTTCTATTCGACTCTCCGCCGACTGTTAAACCTCTCTTGCCTTCATTAGGTCACAGTAGGTGTTCACTCCACTCTCTTCTGGATGGCGGTATAACCAAGACTCTGACTTCTTTTCATTATTAGTCTTTGCTCTTGTTTCTTCTCTTCTTCGTTTATCGTGTCCCTTGTCTAGTTGTTCCTGCCTTAAGGTACACTTTCATTTCTTTTTTGTCTGATCATTTTCTTTGTCATGTATTTCTTTGTTAAACTCTCACTAACCTGAAATACATCCTTAAGTTTGGTAATTAACAGATGTTCCCTTTCCGCTGATTTTCTAGCGGATACCCGGGTATACCCAGGGATACCAACGGATACCCAAGGCCAATGGCCGGCTGGAAGGGTTTCCTTCCATCCAGCAAGGTACATGTACCTTGTCGACTGGAACATGTACCTCTTGCCAACTGGAAGGAAACCCTTCCAGTCGGCGAGAGGTACATGCTTGCCAACTGGAAAGGTTTCCTTCCAGTCGACAAGGTACATGTACCTCGCCATCTGGAAGGGGTTCCTTCCAGCCGGAAAGAGGTACATGCACCTTGCAGGCGCATGTCCCTTGCCACTGCCGACTGGAACCCCTTCCAGCCGGCAAGAGGTACATGCTTGCCGGCTGGAAGGAACCCCTTCCAGACGGTGCCTCACCGACTTTTTAAAGGGCGGGTATCTGAAGATACCCGCCAGCGCCTGAAGATACCGTGCGGATGCCTTTTTGGATGCACATTTCCCTGGAAAGAGCAACCGGATATCCGCATCCGCGCGGAAATCCGATGCTCTGGGGCCATCTCGACTTTGTGTTCGCACGGTAAAGAGGGTACCTCTAGGGGTAACCTGTGGCCGCCTTTGTATTGGTGAGAAATGGAGAGCAGGGACCTCAACTGATACCAGGTTAGCAGGCGCCTCGGACTCTGAGTCATCTTTCAATGATTGAAATTTGTTTTCCTTATCCACACCTAGGTCACAATTATAATTTTTGATTCCATGATCAATACCCCTCCACTCTTCTTGTAATTCTACATTCAATCTCAGGATCAGTCCAATATATCCAGTCGTTTTCCAAATTGCTTATTCCGTCATTATCTACTCCAATCCTATTTCCTATTCCCGACTCAACTCTGATGACTTTTTGCCTTTCACTAACCCTCCACTGGAATAAATATAAACCCAAAATGCTTCTTGTTTGACTCCCTACTTCTAATGCAGCGGTATAACAACATCTGAGGGTTGCACCAAAGGAAGCGGCTCAGCCAAGGCCAGGACTATAATTGGTCCCTTTCCGATAAACTACCGGCTCTTGTTATTTTCCTGGGTGCAGCGTACACAGTTGGGAATTCAAAAGGAAACTTGCCCGCAGAGGCGCAAACATGCTGAACTACATCCTTCTCAATCCTGGCATCAGCAATGTCACTGGCTCATTGCGGTGGGTCTTGATTGATGTCAGCCACAGAGCACCTTTCACAGTAAGTGAAATGTACCTAGTAACTGCAAATAATAATAACTAATTGAATACTGGAAAATAATATACATTGTTGTTAAATTAATAAATAAAATAAATATGTATTTACCTTTAATCGTAATTCATAATTTATATTTAATGATTTTATAATTAACTGTGAAATCCCCTTGAGTATTGTACATATAATATCACTAGGATTTCACAGGAATAGCTTTAGAACAAGGTATCAAAACAATATTTATTCTTTATAATACATAAAGTAATAACATAGGTATAAGAATCAGATAATAGAAGCGTGAGATGGATGAGGCATAAGCTATATAAACTTATCTGAAGCTTACCCATCCTTGATCACATCATCAGGGCATCAGATTGCATCATAACCCTCTTGGATGGCGTCATCAGGACCCTTTTGTGCTCTAATTCAAAGCTTGCATAATTCAAAGTAGCCTACACGGGAAAGGAGCCCAAATTCTACATGCAAGACTGAATTATGCATGAAGGACATGCATTTCTCATGATCACAAGCTTGCATAAGCAGAGTTACACGTATGCAACTAACTCTATAATTGCACAGCCCCTGCACAGTAACTGTAGCCTTTTCAATTACGTGAGAAATAGGCCACAAAACTCAATTATGCATGCATGATCTCATGTCCTAGGACCTTCCACCCATGCATAGCACTGCACAGCTGCAGCTCCCATCCTTACAAGAAATTGTAGAGCTGCTAAGAAGCTCCCTAGTGCCCTGAGGGCCTCTCCTCTTCCCCTGAGCCCCCTGTAGAATATTTAAGGAGCCCTGATTCCTACCTTTTCCCCCCAGGAAATTCTAGTAGCATCAAACCAACACTTGTACCGTTATTATTAGTGACTCAACCCACCAATAACATTACAATCCAGCTACCTTAGACCTAAATAGATTTACTTTGCTCAGTACCAAGGCATTTCTACTTATCTCTATTGCATAAAGAATTATCCCCCTGGTTAAACAATTCTGGTCCTTAAGTGTACATACACTTATTCATCTGGATTGTTGTTAAAAGACTTGATCCCAAGTGAGTAGAAGAATTCCTCACATTGGAAGCCTATTAATCCACGTAACAGGATTGATCTGGATGCCCAATTGAATAATTGGATGAGTCAGCAGTAGAAGTACCATTCCTCACTGACTCCTCCCTGTTTCTTTTACAGGTTGAGGGATTTTTACCACAAATAAACCATCACTTTTACACTTCTTGTTAACACTCATAGCACAACCCACTCAGGTTAGTAGCATAGAGGCTGACAATTGACAGGGATTGGTGATGGTTTTTATAATATGTAAAAATAACTGATGAACCTCCCATTTCATTTTTAGATTATATCGGACAACAATTCCTTAGAATAAAAACAAACTTCATGAGGTTATGTATTCCAGATGGAAATGATCTTGAGGGCCTGATTGATGGGATGGAGGATGAGGAAAGTGCTGATTACGTTTATTGATTGATTGTATGGCCCAAATGGGGATAGAAAGTTGGGGAAAGATGAGATATTGGGCAATGGGCTTTGTCAAAGGTCTTTGGAAACTGTTTTGGAATATCTAAGAAACCCTCTTAGTATTCTCTCTTCATCTTGCACACCTCACTGATTATCTTTTTTTTTTCTCTTTCAGCTTATATGGTGTTGTAAAAATTAATTTATCCTGAATTTCTCTTATCTTCATTTTGACCTCTCAATTATTCTCAACCTTGGAATTTACTGAATAAATGACAAGGATTGAGTGGAGCTTCAAACAACAATTTGGACCAGTACTAATGCTTTTGCTAG